CACTCACCAGAGCTGTGAGTGCTGTCCCTACGGAGCTCTGGGACCGGACCGGTGCTGAGGCTGAGCTGGTGGCCTGGGCATGCACTGAGGTCTCTGCTGGAGTGGCCGGCACCATCACCGCTGGACCCGTGCATGCATGCGTGCATGCGTGCGTGTGTGCATGTGTGCGTGTGTGCATGTGTGCGTGCATGGGTCACCTGCTCTCGGTGACCCACGGCGAGGCCGGTAAGGGGCTTCCTTCTTTGTTCTGGTCCGTCTTACTCATCTAGACAGGAAACAAAGAGAGAAAGAGAAAGAAGGAAAGAAAGAAAGAGCGAGCCAGACTTGATGCCTGCCCTAAAAAGTTTACAATCTCCTTGGGACAATGAGGCATTCATAGGACAAGAAGCCTGGTCGGGACAGGGGAGCCTTGTGTGAGCGCGCTCCCCCCACCCCTTCTCTTCCCCGCCTCCTCGCGCCCCTCCCTCCTCTTCCTCCCCAGCCCTTTCTCTGCAGCATCTGTCTTGCAGGTGGCCCTTCACCGGATGGGCTCATACTTGTTCCTACTGTCCTGTCGCTCAAGTCCAACTGTAGTCTAAGTGTAGCCTGATGGGTTGTAGCCCCATGGGGTTAGTGCTGCGGTGACACTGGGGGTTTCTCTTTGGTATTCGTGTCTGGGATGCGGGGTGTTTGTTGGTGGTGGTTGTGTGGCCTTGGAGGTGGAAGTGGAGGTATAGACTCTGGGGGTTCCCCCGTACCCCCAGCAACATGAACAGCATTGGGTACACTTCTGGCTGGCGGGGGGGGGGTGATATCGGATTCACCACCTCCACTCTGGTAGTTTAAAAAGAAGTCTCCAGAAGACTGTTTAGAGACCTGGGTCGGGAAGAAGCTGCAGCGTGGAGCTCTTCATGTTCTGTTGCAATTTGGCCTCACTGAGGAGGCAGACTAGATTCTGCAGCGTTGTCCTGGCTCACCGAGGCCCAGCGACCCAGGGGGCTGGTGAGCCCTGGCACAGCAGCACAGTCCGGGATGGAAGGGACACTGGGAGGACCTGGGGGGAGGGGAGGGGAGACGGCGGGGGGGGGGGAACGAGCGACTCCTCCCCCTCCCCCTCCCCCTCCGCAACACGTCGGCTGGCGGTCGAAACCCCGCCCCAAAGGAGGGGGGGGGGGGGGGGGGGGGGGGGGGGGGGGGGGGGGGAGAGGCTCCTCTCTCCATGTCCCCTCTTCCCGAAGTGCTGCTCCCCACGGCCTTTCCAGAACCCAGAACGAGTGTCTGCTTTTTCCATGGCAGAAGAGCGCTGGCCACTAACCGTGCTGTCTCCCCACACCCACACCCCGTGCTGTCCCTTCCGGAGGCCAGCCTGTGAGGCTTGTGGTCTCCTGTGGCTGTGGAAACGCAGATTGTTTAAATTTATTTATCTTTACTCATTTTATTGTGCTACTACTGGGGCTTGAACTCAGGGCCTCATGCTCTTGATTGCTTTTTCACTCAAGACTGGACCATGCCTCCACTTCCAGCTTTTTGCTGTTTAGTTGATCAGAGTCTTATAGACTTCCCTGCCCAGGCTGGCCTTGAAACTTGATCCTCAGATCTCAGCCTCCTGAGTAACTAAGATTACAGGCGTGAGCCCCAGCGCCTCCCTGTTCCCTCCTGTGCCACCCCTAGCCCTGCTGGGAAAAGCAGATTTAAGACAAATTGGACTGAAGGGTTCCCTGGGTGTTTTTGGATGGTCTTCTTGCAGATCCCACTCCAGCGCAGCCCTCCCCCGCTGCTGCAGGCTCCCCCACACGGGAGGCCGCCCCCTGCACTCTTTCGGAGCTGGTGATCACCGAGCTGGACCCACATCGTGTTTCGTGGGCGAGATAAGACTGTCCGGCAGCCTGCTTGTGGATCCGGTGGCTTTCACTGGGCAGTTCCCGGCTGGGGCTCTGGGTGCGCCTGCCTTTCCTGCGCTCGCTCCGGCTGTTAGAGAGAGATGGCCACTGAATAGCAAGCGTGGGTTCTGAGCAGCGCGCCCCGTGGCTGTCCAGGGCTCCTCCACTGGGAAACATTTTCATTTCCTGACACCTCACCCAAACCCAGCCGCAGGGGTAGCTGCCCGACACGGAGGGCTCCGAGGAGGGAGTGTGTCCACTCAGGAACTGGGGCGGGGGCCTGCTCCTGTTGAGCAGCAAGAGGGCAGGCCTTCCCCAGGGCCCAGCCTGATGCCCTCCCCCAGTCACCCAGAAAACCCTTGACTTTGTTTTTAATCTTAAAAGTCATCTCAGCGCTCTGGGCAGGACCTGCTTCCGTTTTATCTGCTCATCAAGCGTCAATATATGGGTGCATTCTTACTGTGACCGGTTCAAAGTCTTACTCATATTTTTATTCTTCACGGGTTATTGGTTTGGTTGTGTGTGTGTGTGTGTGTGTGTGTGTGTGTGTGTATGTGTGTGTGTGTGTGTGTG